TATTATAAAATAATTATATTATACTATAATTTATAATTTCATAAGATAAGGGCCTTAATTCAATATTGTGATCCTTGTTCTTTTCCTCAGCCTTTACTTCTCAGTTAGCAAGCTACGCCGAACATTAACAAAGTCAACTATTAGCTCAACTATTCAACTATTTAAAAAAGGTTAGACATATAAAAATTTCAAAATTTACTCACTTTTGATCACCATTCACAACTTTGAAAACACAATAAAAATTATACTTTTATTTATACAATTATTTGTATTATATCCCATGTTTACAAAAACTGTTATGGACATCAAAAATGATACCAAAAAAAAAGGGTTGGGTATGTTCTAATATCGAGATGCCCAAACTATATTTCCGAATTCAATTTAGCCATAAATGATTAGGTAAAGGGTTTGTACTAGAGAGAAAACAACGCATTTCTATTGAGGGTCGCGGCGATATGTACATTAAGAACACGCAAACCCAGGTTCGCGAACTCTTCGGACGCGAGCATGCAGAGAAATCTCGACGGACCTCCTCTTCCAGCAAGGATAACAAGATAATATCAACCAGTGTTCAGGTTGATGCATTGCATAGAAAGATTGAAAGTGAAATAGGAAAATTAAAGAATTTCCGTAAGTCCTTTTTAAAGGACACTAAGGGAAAGCCTGAAAAAACTGCTCACATATTAACTGGAAAGTACGAGGGGCTCAATTTTCCCGACAGTTCTATAGCAGCCAAATGGCAGGAAGTGGTCAACTTGGAAATCGGATCTCCAGAGATTCGAAATAAAACCCCGTGCCTCCGCACCACGCACATAGTGTCCTCGCCACAGTCGAGCAGCAGCGCCGAGCCCCACTCCAAGCCAGAGCCAGGCACTGATAGTCCACTAGTTGAATCACCCGATGAGACAATTGCACGCATGTGCGGTGGATGCAACAACGGGTGCTGCGATACACGACCGGGAGCATACTCAATCTACCAGAGGGACTACTGTCACCAGGGAGCTACATGTCCCATACGCATGTCAGAGTGCCGACAATGCTATCCTAGCAATGCTAGCTGTATAACTTGTATGTCGAGAGCTATAGCTGTGCCCATGCCGTATTCATCCAATCCGTGCTATCAATATCCAATTGGGACGCTTTACCAAAAGCTAGACATGCTAGTGCCACAAAGGAATGGTTGCGAAATCTACACGTGCAACTGTCCAAGAAATACCTTTTGTAAGCGTACAACGGATTTGAATACGTCGGACTTTTGTAGCAACTGGTATCCAGATCCGGTAGCCACTGTAAATCGTGCTGTAAATACTAAAGAAATTCCGCTATCTAAATTCCAATTTACACCAAAACAGCCAATACAGGCAGGTGGGAAAGAAAAGGGGAGAAGCGAAAGCCCCCCTAAGAACGCAGAAAAAATAATGAAAATATCTTATAGGCAGCAGAGACCTGAACTGAACCAAAGTGGAATAGCCAAAGACAGAATGAGCGTCAAAAATTACGGAACAGTGAAAAAGAAACCTGCAGATGACCCCGATATCAATGCTGAGAAGTTGCGCATGCACCGCGAATATATGGAGATGTATAAGACAGAACATAAGAAAACTGCCAACAAGGATTCAAGCCAAAACAATTCGGAGCTTGATACTTGTCCCACCTATACAAGGTTGCCAGTAGAGAATGGAAATGATGCTAGATTGTCTGCATTATATATTACAGAGATTGAACCTTCTACAAATCCGAATCTAAATACAGTTACTAATCTAAGCCGGCCGGCGAGAGCTGAGGAAGGTGCTAATCAAACACCAGTAGTAAATCAAATAAATGCAATTGGAAACGTGCAACAAATTGATCAAAGCAATAATGACCACACTAAAGGCCATAAGCTTAAGAATCTGTCCGTTAAACGTAATAATGCTCCGAAGAAACTATCTCCAATAATACATGAATTTTCTACACCCGGATTACCCGATTCGAATGACAAGAACGTTCGTTTGATCTGGCCACCTGCCAAACCGGTCATGAGCGACAGATCTGCGCAATCTCCTGTGGAAGAAACTCAAACGGATAACCAATTGAATCCACCATCCACATCCACATCACAGCATCACATCACTAGCCAATCTTGCCAAACATCCCCTAAAAATCAATTGAGCGATAAATCTCTGCTTACCCAGACCGAAGAAACCCAAGCGAATATTCCATTGAACCATCCTCAGCTATTAACAATCTTAAGCAACCAATCTAGCCAAACGTCCCCCAGAAACCCAGCGCCATCTTCTCTGCAGGTTTGGACCAATGGAATACAATCCCAAGTACAAGAAACCCAAACCGATATTCGAGACGGTGCGGAGTGTGAAAAGATGAATGCAGACCAAGCGAAAAAAGCGTCAACTTTTCGAGAAGAGACAACTTTCAGTAAATATGATGCGGTAGGTATTAGTAATAGTAATATGTGCTATGGAAAAAAGTGTTTCATATTCTTATGAGCCATATCCTACAAGAAACAGAAAGCTCATGGAAATAAACAACAAAAGGGTCGAACCACTTGCTCAGCAAGACATGCATCGAAGATTGACAAGTTGCAGATATTCACATCAGCAAGCTCAGCTAGAAATTTTATTCCTTGGCACACATTAAGAAGGAAGGAGGGAAACCGAAGAATGATCGAGAATTACAAAGCAATGATCCAGCACAAACGTGTCGACACTCACACTCCTGAATCGGAAAGTAACCCATCTACTACAGATATAGCCTTGCCCGTAACCCCAAATCATTGTGATGGTAACTACATAGACCTAGAACAAGGCCAGAGCAACTCGCCGGCTGTCTCAATCCGTTCCGATTATCAGAGTTTCTCGCAACATCCGGAACCAAGTAACCAAGCCGCACAGGATGACAATACTTTTGAAAGTACTAAAATTGTTATTATTTATAATGGCTCCGTTAAAAAATACCATAAATATCTGCCTTTCGTCCACAACTTAGTTCAGACAGAGCAACGTCCTCAATCCTTCGACCTCTGCGACGTGCCGTGCGGACCTTCGATTAGTCAAAAGCAACCCTTAAGAGATTTCGTTTGCACAGAACAATGTGTTCGGGAAAAGCGAAGGCGTTCAGTGACCTTTCGAGATGAAAGCGGACTTGGCAACCGCAGCGCCGTCGACTGGGAGCGATTGCCCAAGCTATCCATGGAACGTGACACGGCGGGTGCACAACAGCCGGTTGATGATAACGATTATACAGATGATGATCTACTAGATTCCCACAGTAAGTACGAAACATGTAATGAAATCCAATTTTAATATTGGCCACTTTCAGGATCAACAAACACAGAATTTACGTGCAACGAATCCAATTATGAGGACGAGTGTTCAACCTTCAATGACAGCAATCGCGATTACATACCGCCCTTTACTGGATGTCCCTGTATGTACAATGAGTACCTCAAGCTGGTTGCCAAGTGTAGGCGACCAAATATCTGATTTACGTGAGATGAGGACGTTTGGCTTTCCACATTCATTTTCTGAAATCATGAAAGTTAAATGTGAATTTTTTATTTATTTTCAATTTTACAAATGCACATTATTTAGTCTAATCTGATAACTATATTTTTGTATTTTCTAAGCTAATTTAGTTTCAGTCATAAATATTAAATGCATATTTTGGTATCACCTACACATTAATATTATGACACATAAAGCTTAACATTATCAACCTGACATTCTATTAAAAATCAATTGAGATTAAACATATATTAATTTATTACTAATTCCTAATCATTAAGCGTTTAAATATTAAAATCATTACATTAGTTAATGGGTCGTAGTTGTAAATTAATTAATGACACACTGAAGCGTAAAGAGTCCGTCAAATGCAAAGTTAAAGTAATAGCGAATACAATTTTACATCGGTTCCTCTTGAACCCTGGGTGTGATTTCCCTTGTGCGCGCCTGACAGAAGCGATCCTCGGCTAAATTCTTACGTAATTCCCGAACCTGCTGCTCGTACTCGTTAGCAAGACGTTCCTGTTTGTTACAACGATCCCGCTCTTCTTGAAGTTCAGTCTGTTTTGAATGAATCAAATGCTTACTACCAATGTAATTAGGCTCTTCGATTAAGTAAATAAATACCAGGGTCTTTGCATGTAGCTGCCGCAGTCGCTCCATTTCGCAGTTCGCGGTTAACCCTGCCTCATCTTGGCGCTGCTGCTCCCCGCGGATGCGATCCAAGAGCTGCTCTCTAGTCTCAGTACTTATATGATTTAATTCAGACTTTTGCTGTAATTCGGCACGCAGCTTTTTGCACTCTTTCTCCAGCTGTAATTGAGTTTTGTTATGATATGGTAAGTGGCTGGCTTTTAGTTTCACTAAATTACTATGACACATTTCTATTATACCATAATGAATGTTATAATGAATACGCACGTAAATATGACGATGGTAATTATAGCCAACCTCCAAACACATCAGCTTACCTTTTTGCGAGTTTCATTTATTTCGTTGAGCTCGGCATTTAGCTTTTCTTTTTCTATATCCAGCTTCTCACATAGCTCCTTTCGCACCTCCAGCTCTATTTTCTGCTCTCGCGCGTTCTCCAGGTCCCTCTCCAAGCATCGCATTCGAGTACGAGCGGCAGTCAGTTGCATCTCCAGCTCATCAATTGTGCACTGCCGGCAATGCAGCTGCTCCTTGAGTGAATGTACTTCACACTCCAGTTCGTAGATTTGCCGCCTTTCACAGATTCGATTTGAGCTTAGTTAATTTGATAATTCTTCATATTTATCAGCTACTCACTTGAACTCATTCGCCTCAACCTCCAAGCTTTGATTGTTGCCCTCCAAGAGAACTTGGTCCTGTGTCAAGTTGTGGTAGCAGTCTAGCAATTCCTCGCGCTCCTTTTCCTTTAAGACAAAGTGTACCTAGCACGTTAACCCGGTGTTCAAATCACCTTCTGCCTTAAAAGCTAATTAGACAATATTTTCGAGCAATATACCTTTTCCAGAAGCAAATCTTCGGCTCTTTTCACCTCCTGGACGTATTTAGATAGCTTCTGTTTCATATTAGCCACCTGCTGCTCCGAGTCACTGAGCTTATTTTGCAGCGTCCTCGTTTCTGCCAGAGCATTACTCAATTTGTCCGTGAGGCGTCTGTTGAGTCACAAACAAATCACATTTAGTGTGATGAAAACAGTCACAAAAAGCTAGCTAATTATGGGACCCAATAAAAAATTAGCAACGCTTAGTTGCTAATGATATGGATGCTGACCGATAAGACTAATGTCTGATGAAGCAGATATTATTTATATATTATTTATTTATACGCACCCGTTTTCCGCAATTGCTTCGTCGCGACTGAGTTTTAGTGCCACAATCTGCTGCCGCAGTGTTTTGCTTTCCGCCGACGTCTCATTCAACTCCGAGTCGCGTTGTAGTGTTCTTGCGGTTAGATTTCTGTAATCAGATTTCCATTTGAGTGTTGGCTTCATAGAGACGCTAGCCCTTAGCTACTTTTTGTATGTATTCGAGCAAAATTGGCTTGCACCTGCGTTGACGGTCATTTGAGTGCCGAAGCCTTCACGGGGTCAAATCGCTGAGCAGAGGCTAACTTATGATCAGCCGTAGGAGAGCCCGAACCCGATCAGCTTATGTTATGTGCTCACTCTTCGCTATCCATTGCAAGAGCGGACTACGCATTTACAAGCTAGGCACGTTCGCACATATCCGCAATTCGAATTGAAACCCAAGAACAAAGCGCGACCCTGTAAGCCGGTTTGCTTCTGACCAACCCCAGCCCCAACCCCCGCCAAAACCAAAGTCAGAGACACGCCATCGATGCCAATCAGCATTGCCTGGCAGGTGTCACTCATATTAAGAGCTTCAACTAAAATTAAACTGCATTTGAAGAAGTAAGCCTAAGGTTGAACTCCCACGATGGCAAACATAAGAAGCATTGAAACCCGTCTGAGTCTTGTTTGGCTAAGAGTACGCTGATAAGTACGCTGCCAAGAGTAACGGCACAAAGAGAGCGTGATAGCAAGAGAGCAACGCGTGGTCTGTTTACCTGGCGCAGACTTAGCGCTGGCCGCATTGTAGCGGCGCTCAGACGTCTGTTACCTGCGCAGGCGAATGGTCGCGTCGCGTTCAGTGTCGGGTCGGGTTTTACGTTGCGCACTGAACTGCTACATGTGTCAATTGGCATTGGGTTTCGAGTCAAAACGGAAATCGGCACTGCTGCGTGTGTCAGAGCGTGATCTCGCGGGATTCGAGTGCTTGGGTCGGATCGCAGCTCAATTTTAACTAGAATCCGAGACCCGAGGTGAGCATGCCGTGTTAGGAATCAAGCGCAAAGACTACGCTGAGAATTAGCAAGAATTGTTTACGAGCTTCAAACAAGGCACACACGCACAAAAAATCTTGACTCTACACACATACATACGAATCTAAGATATAATTGATGAACTTTTGTTCACACTGGAATTGCCTTTGTTCAGTGTTCAGTCTCGGTGTTCTTTTTGACCAAATAAAAGAGAATACACCGATTTGCGGCATTAGGAAACCTGTTGCTGCTTTCTGTTGGCTGTTACGACAGCCAAAGCCACCGACTTCAACAAGAAACCCAACACAACTCAAAGCAGCGTAAGTTGCGGTTAGCCTAATGCATTATTTATAGCTCGGGCTGCAGCTGTTGTCTGTTGTTTGTTGCCTGTTCGCTTTTTATGTGTTGCTTGTTGCGTATTCGCGGCTGAGCCCAGCCCCGGGGCAGGCAGCGGTCGGACAAAAATTGGGGAATTAGTGCAAAGTGTTTTCCCAGCCCGTTTTCCCAGCACCGCTTGGTTGGCTGCTTCTGCCACTAGTTTCGTCACAAGCCACATGCAGGTTTTCAAAGCACGACGATTATGTAAATGCGGCTTCGATTTTAGGCACTCGTTGGCCAACAGAATTTTTCTGCCGACTGACCAGAGCAGCAAGGGCTGGGAAAGGGGAAATGGAAGAAAGAAGTCAAGATAAACGAGTATTTAGGTCATGGTTAACAGCGCACAACCACATACTGGTTTTTACATTGCCTTATTTTTGTTTCTTTTTTTTTCTGTGTTTGGGTTTGTTGTTTTTGTAAGTCGCGGAATCAACAAGATTGCTACACAGCACATCGGCCTGCAGGTTGGCTAATTTAATTTGGACCTGCTGTAAGCCCATACCCAAACAAATGTTTTGCCTGTTTCCTTTGGGAGGGCCGCATCTCAATGCTTTAAGCATTCTGCCCTGCTTCTGCCTCTGCCACTGCCCCCTGCGAAGCGCAGTGAAAAGCATTTAATTAATGGCTATGAGCCATTCACCAACTCACACAATAGAAAACTTATCAATCATGCGGTCTAATGAGCGATCAAACCGCTTTGAATAGGCGCCAGCTAAAGCATTGAGAGTAAAAGTGACATAGGCAAATTGAATCCAGTTCATCATTATCGGCATTTACAGCCGCTAACGATGCGAATAAAGCGCCGGAAGCTGTTGGTCTACTGGGCAGCCCTGCAGGCAGGCAGCAGCCTATTCACCTATTTGCTGCTTCTGCTGACACAACACCAAGCAATGGGCGGCATCGTGCCCCCGCCCTGGAGTGACCCGGCAAAGAATCCTTGCGCTAGCATGGCCGGCGGCTGGCAGCTCCTCTACTGGACGCCGCTAAAGAAATGCTTTAAGATCTTCACGCTTGGCTACCCTTGTCCGGACACTATGGAACTCAGTCCAACAGCAACAAGCGCTAAGAGGAAAAATGTCCCAGCAGCCGAGTGTCGCTGCCCACCGGGCACGGCGCTTAGTGCGCTCACCGATGCTTGTCACAAACTCTATGACCGCGGACCCTGTCCGTACGGCGAGTACTTTCAACCCGTTCCAGAGCAAGCCAAGAGGTAAGCACTTATGATTCAAACTTGGTCGCACCTCCATACATTATGCTGTTTCAGAGCTGACAATCGCTGGGGCAGCTGTAAGCGCCCACTTCATTGCGACGATGGGATGCTGTTCTGGCCAAGAGACGGCAAGTGTTACCCGAAATACTCGAAGGGTCCGTGCACTCGAGGAAAGCTGCTGGCACGCAACGATGATGGCTTGGCCGAGTGCCGCTGTGAACAGCGAGGGGAGCTGCGACCATACTACTATGCGTTAGAGGAATCCTGCTACGAGCACTACACTATAGGACCCTGCTCAACGCCTGGTCACCTATTCCTGCCAGGCGGCCGCTGTGACTGCCAGCGACATCTGCCCCACTATCACGCGCCCCATCAGATGTGCTACGAGCTTGGTAGGGCTTTGGCACAAAAGAAGTCCAAAATTATATAAATTCATGTCGACATTTATTCTAGACACTCCAGGTCCTTGTCCACCTGGCCATGTCTTCCGCATACCCGATGATATTGAGGCAGGTCAAGAGTCGAACACGCAGATCTCACCGCATGCCAAGTGCATGTGCAAGGAGGGATACGTGCCGTGGACCGACGGCCTGTGCTATCGCCTGTACACACGCGGTCCTTGTGAGGCCAACGAGTTTCTGGTTAATCAAACCTCGTGTGTACGCAACTTCTGCGGCAAAAATCGGCTCTATTTCCCTGCGGAAGACTCATGCTACAGAATCGGCTCTCAGGGACCGTGCTCTCTGCACCAAGTGGTAGTGTTTGATTTTACAGCACGGCCATCTATAGATGGAATCTCTTACAACGGCATTTGCGGATGTGCGGGTGTCATTACAAACTTTGACCAGAAGTGCTCAACCAGCAGCGATCAGGAGAAGAACTTTTGCGAGGCGACGCCCGGAATGGTTGAAATGAGTGGCCAGTGTCACAAGCTTTACACGCGAGGACCTTGTGGTGCCGGCCAATGGCTGGAGCCGCTGAAAACACAAACAACCAATGGCACTGCGCTATTTGGCTATGCCAGCAGAGCGAAGTGTGTGTGCCGACCAGGCTATACGCCAACCGAGAGAGATCACGGCGGAACGCACAGCTGCAGCGCACCCAGCGTAAGCCTGGCGAGGTATTTAACCATCGAGCGTCGAAACTCGAATTTCCTCACTGAATCACCCACTTTAGACCCCAGCAACAGTGTTTCCTTAACCTATCCTCTGTCTGTGGGTTTGCGTTGATTTCCTATTGTTTGTTATCCAACTCTCATCGCATGTCTTTTCTACTTAATTATCTATGTTTTCCTGGACGACCTGCGGTACGGCTTTACAATAGATCTCTCGATTTAATCGTTTCATTTCCTTTTAGGTGGTTCTTAGATATATTTGGCTAACGCTCGCAGCCAAAGTTTGGCTTTAAAAGGCGCCAGGGTGGGAGATTGTGCCATGAATGTATTACCCCAACAACTGTATAAGTGTTTAAGTGAACTGTAGATAAAATGAATAAATGTTTTAAGTAAATCCACGTATGGCTTGGAAATCGACTCTGACCGATTTCATTGCTTAGATGAATGTGTCTTTGATTACATACTTAACTTGAGACTCCAGTTCCCTAACCGTTTGCTCCAGTACGTTCCGTTTATCCTTACAGTCCTTGAGCTCGACCTCCAATTTGAAGAGCTTCTCAGTTTTATTATCCAATTCGTTCTGTGGTTAGGATGGATTAAATTAAGAAAAACAGAATATACACAATTAAAATTACCACTAGTGAATCCTTCTCATGCTCAAGAGCAATATAAGTTTGACGTAATGAGGCCATTTCGGTACGCAATTGATTAGCTTCATTGCGATTCGATTCACGACTAGAATCCAATGTGCTGACACGCACGTCAGCCTTATGCACCTGACGCTCTGCTAGCATTAGCTTACTTCGATAGTCGGCTATAATGCGTTCATTCTGTTCATTTATCAAACTGTTAAAGATACAACAATTAAAGCTTTATAGAGCATAATGCAATCAATCATAGCATTTACGTTATTTGCCCGTTCTCCCTTCTCAAATTCTCTGTATCGGATTGGAGCTCCGATAAGCGCCTTTTCAGCTCAGCTACGTCTTCTTTCAAGAGAGCATTTTGGGTTTCAGTGGGAATGCGGGCTGAGTTCAACTCGCGATGCTCTCGCTCTAGTTGGCGTATGCGATCCTGCAAGTCCTCATTGCGAACGCGCAGCGTCTGCAATTCCTCAGCGTGCAGTTGCACGCTGCTCAACTGCTTCTCCCGCAGCGTGTCCCTCTCGCAACGCATACGCTCGAGCTCAACACGCGCACAATCGCGCTCGCGCTCAACCCGAGCAATGGCAGCTTGAACGCAGTCACTGCGATTACTGGGGCTATATGCGCTGCTAACCGTGGGTGGAGATATGTTCTCACTCTTGCGAGGTGATAGCTGCAGCTTTGCCGTGGACAGCATGCATAGCTCGGAGCGCAAGACATGTAGCTCCTCGTCCTTTGACTTGATTTGAGCGTGTAGAAATGCAATCTCGGAATCCGACCCGGATTTGCCCATGAGGCGTAGATACTCCTTCTGGAAGAAATCTCGCTCTGACTTAAGTCGAATTTTTTCCTCGTCCAGTGTCACACTGTTCTGTTGCACTTGCTCTTGCAGCTCTTTTTGCGTCGCTGACATTTTACTCTCCATTTTGTGTAGCTTCTTTTTAAGCTTTTCATTAACTATTTGTAGCTCTTCCTCGCGGCGCGTCAGCATATTGATCTTTTCGTTGAGCATGTGTTTGTCATCATGGAGTGTGGCTTTATCGCACCCGGCAGGTTGTCGTTGTCCTTTGGATCTTTTATCGTTACGCTGCTGCAGTTTCTCTAGCTCGATTTGAAGCTGTCTTAGCTCTGCTTCTTTCGCATCAATTTCAGAATTGGCTTGGTCCTCCACTTGCAAGGCAGCTTCCTTTAACTCGCACAGATGTGTTTGCAATCTTTGTTTTTCCTCCTCCAGACGCAACGCACGCTGCATAGCATCGTGCATCTTATCTTGATATTCGCTAACCTGAGTCATCAACTCGGTTTTTTCGCGCTGCAGTAGGCCAATGTCTTCTGAGAGAGCGCCGACTTCCCTGTAGCAGCATTCCTTCGCTAGCACTGCGGGCGGACGGCCACCTGAGAGCAAATCATTTAATCGTCGAATCTCCCGGTTCCGCGACTCCACTTTCCGTTTAAAAAACTCCAGTTGCTCGCCGGCACTTGTGAGCTCGTTTTCGAGTCTGGCCACCTCTTCCGATGGGGCGGGCACGCCTTCCTTAGAGCTAACTGCAGTCTTTTGAATTACTCCAGCATTACACTTTGTACATTTTAAGGAAGGAATCGTTGATGTAGCATTAGAAGGGGGCAGCACTTCTCCTGAGCGTACGGTTGTAATAAAGGGTTTTCTTGCTATAAGGGAATGAACTTCTATGTATTAAAATACTTTATATATATATGTATATATTACACACTCTTCACTCCTGTAGCTGGCGTTCGTTTGCCAGTTGATGCACTGATTATTTGCTTTGACAAGAACGTATCCAGTTGAGCTTGGAGTTGGGCATTATGGGTCTGCAAATGGTCACTGTCAGTCTGCAGATTGCGTATTCGCCTCTCAGCCTCTGCGGGGATATTTTTATTTTTACGCAAAGTAACGCTACATCAGGTACATACCACAAAGCCGAAGTTCGTAGCCTTCTCGCTCCTCAAGAACCTTCAAGTGCAGCTCGTTGCACTCGGCCAGTAAACGCGTATTGTCACATTTATAGGGCTCAACTCCCAATTCCCAGCACGCCTTTTCCTATAAAGAAAAAAACTAAATTTCCAGATATAATTGAACGATGCAATTCCCTACCTCTAATAGCTCAACAACTTGCTTTTTTGTATCCCGGAGGCATTCTGTTGTTTTTATTAGATCGCCAAAAATGGCTCCAACCAGCGGAATTGCTAGCACTGGTAATGTTTGAGTGAAGCCCATAACGTCGAGCTTAGCACGGAGCTCCTTAAAATCCCATTCAGTCATATTTACGTTTAAAATTCTACTTTTCTTTCCTATATTTGCGCGTTATCTTCCTCTTATAGTTTTCAATCATCCGATACGTTTTCGATAAGTTTTCGTGATCACACGACGAAGTGTGGTGGTAAGCCGATTCAGAGTATTGCCAAAGGCAATTTATCAATTTACATATAAAGTGGTGAGTTTGGTAAAACGGTTAAAATTTTAAAACAACACAACAGCCTAAACTAGCACAAAATTAAACATGAGTTCCTCGATTATTCATATGCAGCATAAAATACTGAAAATCAATTCTTCATTAACCTATGATCTACAGAGTTAGGCAAGAAGATAATTTTAGATACAATTCTTCTGAACAGAAGTGAGAATGTTTACCAATAATTTTTTGATGCACAAAAAGTCGCAGGTGTTTTAGCAATCGTGAATCGTTAGTGAAAACATACAATTTTAATTTTTTTATTTTTTACTTTTATCTGGGCTGACATATAAAACTAAAAAGAAAAAAACTTTGAAACAGTAGTTGCCACTGGCTGTCGCTGTACGTACTACGTACATATGTATATGTCAAAGAGAAAGTTAACTCAAATCAACGATGATTCCCTTAACAGAAATCCACCACAATGTAAAGAGCCAGTTAATTTAAAAATCGATAAATATTACTTTTATTCAGATAGATAAACAATATGAGTAACATACGAATCTACTCAACAACGAAACATTGATAGTTTTTGAACATAAAAGGAGAATCATCGTCCGATATAAAATTCCTTTCTGGCTTCTCCGAACGAAAGGGATTAGTAGTAGGCGGAAGTACCACAGTTAAGTGGCGGTTAGATTGATTTAGAAATTGGCTCAAATCAAGTGGCGCCTCGTACTTAGTATACGATGTGACAACAATAGGGCATTTTATACTTAAGGTCGCCCGTATAGTCTCAGGCCAGGTGTCTTCCAAGGCGTAGCCTGTAGCGCGATACAAGCCCGAATTGAAGAAGCAGACTGTAAATTAGCAAAGTAAATGATATTATTCAGGATTATATATGTATGTATATGTATGTATATGTATAAATACTTATTACTTTTGTTCTAAATAAACATTACCCGTGTACGTAAAACACTAAAATACTAACTACAAATACACACATTAAGTATAAGCAATCGAGATATCTGAAGTTTTCCATCAATTACCTAAATCCGGCTTTAGAAAATTAGGCTCCAAGTAATAGTCGTGATAAAGGCGATTCTCAAAATGGTATTGTACTGTACGTTGTGCTTTTCGACACAAACGACAGCATCTGAAAGCGAAAAAGGGGATGAACATTTTGTTTCCATTGAAATCAAATACACTCAACCTAATCGTAGATAGTTGATCGAATGATATATTATTAGGATTAAGTTCAGGTCCAATGAACACGATATGCAAGGTTTCAAGTGCTGGTAAAGTGTGCAGCAGGAAAATTTCCCATTTCTGAAATACGTCCACTTCGAACTCCATTTCAGCTCCGATCAGATGAATTGTAAGCTGCGTGGCTTCCAGAAGTCCGCAAAGCTTAAGAGCAAAAAATGCTGTCAGCGGTCCAGTAGATACTTGTGTCAACGCCGCAAATTCGCACCCGTCAACCACATCTAGAAAATGAAGCATTAAATTTCTATCATTTCAAAAGGTAAAGTCAAGTCTACGTTCAATGACTTACTGAAATTTAGCTTTTTTAATATTTGCTTGGTGTTGGAGCAGGAGCTAGGCTTCTCCCGCAGCACCTTGTCGGGCAAAGGAGGCTCCACGCGTCCAAACTTTGCCTGGAACATTACAAACGCTTTGAACAACTTGTAGGCGCTGCACCATTCGGCATGGCCGACGCTCAGATGATCCTGCTTGCCCTTGCAGAAGGCAACCTCGCCGCACTGCGCACATGCTGTCAGCTTTTTGAACTTGTGCTCACGGCACTTTGCATGGCCACAGATGAACGGAAAGAGCAATACTTCCTGTTCCGTGGGCGTTAGGGATCGATTGATCGCCTGCTCCACTTGACGTATGCATACGATGCGGTACGATCGGAACTGCTCGGCACTGAAGTCTCCACACTTGTGGAAAATGTCGTGGCCCTGCCGCTCTACCACTTGACGCAGGCCGCAGCATAGCTGACGGTGCTCCTGATCGTCCCGCATGTGCAGGACTGTGCAGTAGTAGACCATTGCACAGCCTTTGCACGGTATCGCCTGTCGCCCGCATAGATCCAATTTGCAATGCTGTGAAGGCCGATTTTATTTCAGTTGTCGAAGCTGCTGAGGCATGGATGCACTTACATTGCACAATGATGTCATAAAGTATTGGCGTGGCCTATATATGTACTCCACGTACTCGGCTTCCTCATCGGATGACTCGGCACCGGTCAAGGGCGCCGTGCTAAACATTTCGCCCAGTTGGCTAAGAAGGGCTCCCCTGGCAGCCTCGGTGGAACCTAGAGGGAATTATATAACATCTGCACTACTATACACTAAATATCCAGTCAGTATGGATACAATTCTGGTTGAATATTCACCTTTTTGCAAGTTGCTTCCAATACACTTCAGAAGATCATTTACTTCATCGTCTTTACTGCCCAATGGGCTATGTTTCCGCAGTGGGGAAGGGGCCTTTGCCTGCACAATGGATGGATTTGACGGCGCCGAGTTGTTCGCCTTGGCCAGCAGTTTCTTGCGAAGAAGCCTTTGTATTAGGTTAATGACACTGGCATCAGGCTCTGCTCTGGCAGGCTCCGACTGGATCGGCTCCAAGGCGGGATTGGCAGCAGCAGCACCGGGCTCCGATTTGAGTTCATTTGTTTGATTGCATTTGTTTCTAGGTCGATTACGTGCTCGCGTTTTCTTCTTGGCATGCATGGCGAGTCGAATCTCTTTGCACTGAATTCTCGTTGATTAATTCGCGTCTTCTCGCAGAGAATGCACACAACGTACTCATCGGAATGAACAATGAACTACATGAACGGCCAAGTAGAAGACCCAAGATAATTAGCTAGTCCGCTTATGCACGGCCACAGCCAAAAAGACATCTAGCCAAACGCCACAGGCATACGCTCGTCTATTTGCGGACCTGGCTGGTTCAGGCGGCGGCAGTCGTCATGGCTTCGTTAAGCATTATCATGAGCGTTTGATAAATTTCTGCGACGGGCCAGAACAAGAGCAGCATTTATTCTGTGTCTTTTTTGCTGGGTACACAGTAGTAGACCACAACATGTACGATTCGCCGATTATATATAAGCCCATATGCCTATACATATATGCATATTAGCCAAGTACATGCTGCCCGATATAATACTTGACGCGCTGTAGTGCTATCCCAAAATAAACTATCTCTGGTTAGATCATACTGGATGTCAACGTATTGTTTGAAATGATGTAAAACGTGCACCTGTTTGACAGCCACCTCTTTGACCCTTTATATGATATTATCTTTCTTCTTATTATGTTTAATATTTCATTTTTGTAACTTTAATTTGCTATGTACCTGCATCCATTGAAATAGGGAATCCATCTATGTGCGTCTGGAAGTCTGCGTAAACGCAGCGATCTTATATGTAGCTTAGAACATGAAATTTGACCTGGAGTCATATGCAGTTCAACTTAATACAATTCTTTACCCTTAATGCAGACTGTGGAATCTTTTCTTTTTACTCTGTTAACAATTTGGGAATACAGTAGAATCCGGTTATAACGAATCCACTTATAGCGTCTATACGGTTATACAGACAGCATTATGAGCAAACTTATACATAAACAAGAAAGAAAGCTCTAGTCGAGACTGCTCGACTACGAGATTCCCTGAACCCTCTAATCTGATATTCTAATCACTCTGCACTTCTTTTCGGCACACATTTATACACACGCATGCATTAGAACGCGCTCTGCTAGCTGCGCAGTAAGCAGCGACTGCGCTTCGGCTGCGCTACAGTGTGGGCTACATTATAAGAATTTATTTGTTGAATAATTTAATTTCTAGACGTTCAATCTTAATGAATCTTAATCTTTCAGAGCGTAATCATATGGTGAAAATGTATGTACATACATTCCAAAGCACAAGTCTCTAGTACTTGAAATACACCTTTTACAAAGGTGAGGGGGTGTATATAGGGGTGGGGGTAAATGACAACAAAAATCGAAGCTATAAAATACATATAAGTCTACATTTAAAATTTGCAAGCTCTAGCTCTAAAGGTGTAGGAGATATAATTAAATAACTAGCTTTCGTTAAGGTTTTTGATCAATAAAATTTCAAGTCAAGTTTCAAGTTTCAAAATAAAAATTTCAAGTCTCTAGCTCTTATATCCTCTGAGATCGACGCGTTCATACATACGGACGGACGGACGGACGGACAGATATACTTTGTGGGGTCTGCCACGCCTCCTTCTGCCTGTTACATACATTTCAACAAAACCATTATACCCTGATAAGCAATTAAGTTCTCATAGTAACCGCACACTGCAGCCCATGCGTGTTTATGCTTGTGTGTATGTGTGTGTAAATGTTTGTGTATGTGGGTGTGTATATATATGTGTGTGTGTGCGTGCGTGTTTCTTGTGTAAGTAGAAAGACGCAGAAAATGATTGAAATAGCTATTGCTCCAAGGGTTCAGGGGATCTCCTAGCGAGCAGTCTCGACTAGAGCTTTTTTACTTGTTTTTTTATTTTTTAGTAATTGTACAGGAATAAAAACATTAGAAATGATTTTCAATTTATTAATAATAATAAAACAGAAAATTCGAAGTATCATATTTCATTGCATAGTGTCTCAATAATAAGAACAAAATGTGCAATAGAAATGCTCAAAACAGAACTTTTGTACTTGTTCGGCTTTGTGTCTCAATATTTCGAGATGTATTATGATAAAATGTAATGTTTGTTTATATTAGTTAAATTTCATAGAATAGTTCTAAAAAATATGTTAGCAGAACATGCTTTTATTGACTTTGAATGTTTTGGCTGTGGTGACCTTTCTGGAGAAATGCCCATATACAAAATTTGAGGTCTCTAGCATCAATAGTGTCCAAAATATAGCAGAATTTAAAAAATCTCTATATCTTAAGGTGCGATTTGCCACGCCCCTGATGGATGAAGACATATAATTTTGTTATTAGGCTTTATAGAATCATAACATTAGCTTACGTGCAAAATTTCAGCGTTCTAGCTGTAACTCTTGGAGATACAGTTTTATCCGACTTGCCACGCCCCCAATGGGCGTAGATATATCCGCCATAGCTAAAGATCTTAGGTTGTCGACGCGGATCTACATTCCAAATTTCAGCATTCTATCTCTTCAACTAATATGATTTCTAGCATATCGGAAAATGCATTTCCAATTTGCCACGCCCCTAGTCGGCGGATCGGGAAAACTTTTAACACTTTATAAATCGGAGATATACAAAATTTTGAAGTTTCGTTCATACGGACAGACAGACAAGACGGACATTGCACAAAACCAATATACTAATTTACTTTCGCGAATGAGTATAAAAATGTCAGAAATATAATTTGAAGCCGGTTTTTTGTAACGTTTGTTTCTTGAATACACGGACCTACACAAATGTTAAGCCTCTAGCCAGGGATTAACCCAGATTAACCCTCAATGGAGCCTTAGGCGATTTCCAATTTAAGCCCCCTTTTTCGCGTACTTGAAACCGCGATGATTGTTTCAAATAAATATATCTTTTACTCGGTAAAACAATGCCATTTAAGATTACAAATCTTTTTCTCTTGTTCATATTTTAATATCTTCATACAAATATTCAAATTTTTGTTTTCAATGAAGAATAGATTTCGAGACTCACTTTAAAAGTGTTGACAGAATTTTGTTTACATTTCGAGCCTAATGATAATAGATTCTATTCAATAGCTTTTACATATTTATTTCAAAACTTTATCTTAACTTTAATAGGAAAAACATGAACTGGAAGCAATTGAACTCAATCTAATCTAGATCCACCACAAGCACCGTCGTTATCATTGTCCAAGGTGTGATCATTGGCGTTTAAGCCATTTATATTTCCATTCACTAGACTATTTAGGGGCTCACATTGGTTATCCGTGGTGGTGCAAGTACTCGTACTGGTGCACTTCTTGCTTCCTTGGAGCTTAAGGGCTGCAAAACTGTGTGATACGCCATTTGCCGTTTCGTCCTCATCTGAAGATGCATCAGAAAGTTGACGTGGGGACAGGCGGCAGCCACGCTCGATGTAGATCTGAAGCCTATCCTCAGCTGCTAGGATTAGACCAAGAAACGGAGGCGACGGCTTCAGTGGCCTTGACAAATATTCCGGATGATACTGGGTAGCCACATAATACGGATGGTCCCGCAGCTCGATAATCTCCATTCGATTTTGATCCACGTCTGTACCCACGAAGTTCATGCCATAGCTTTCCAATTGTGGTACATACTCAGGATTCACCTCATATCGGTGCCTGTGCCGCTCGTCCACCGTCTTAGGATTGCCATACAGCTGTCGAATTGTACTCGGCTTGTCGGCAAATATTGTTCTTCGCTTACCCAGACGCATAGTGCCCCCCATTTGTCCTTTATGATGCTCCGGCATATCGATGACCAACGGATGAGCTGTATCCGGATTTATCTCTGTGCTATTAGCATCTTTTAGGTTTGCTACATTGCGAGCAAACTCTATAACGGCCGCTTGCAGACCTAGACAAATACCCAAAAAGGGTCTCTTATTTTCGCGTGCCCATTGGCAGGCGCGTATTTTGCCCTCCATTCCACGTGGCCCAAAGCCACCAGGCACGAGTATGCCGTTGCTTTCGCACAACTTTTGCCACTCCTTGTGATATTTGGAAGGCTCACGCTGCAGAGTCTCATGCTCCAGCAAACATGATTCAATAAAGACCAAATTTGCCTTGCGGTTCACTGCCAATGCAGCATGTTGCACCGCCTTTACTACAGACGCATACGAGTCTGCAAATTTGGTGTACTTTCCCACAATAGCTATGTTGACCTCCCGCCGAACAGTTTCAGTGCGTCGAGCTAAATCCCGCCAATGCTGCAAGCACCTAGAAGTGCAATGGTAAACACTGTTAAAATTTGCCTAAGTATTAGCTAAAGCTTATCTCTTACTTGGTTCGCTGGCTCATGTCGATGTTCAGCTTAAGCCGCTCATTTAAGAACTCAATAACACCATTCTGCTCCATCAAGAGAGGCACATGGTATATAGAGCTCAGATCATGTATACATATGACTTGGTCCGGGTCGACATGACAGAAATTACTAATCTTCTCTTTTACTTCTACTCCGATCGGCTTCTCAGAGCGACAGACAATCAAATCCGGGCTGAGGCCACATCCGCGAAGCTCCCGCACGGAACTCTGTGTGGGCTTTGTCTTGGGCTCCCCAGTGGCTTTAGGCAGCGGCACCAGGGAGACGTGAGCTAAGCAGAAATTCTCGCGTTTTACGCGAAACTGAAACTGCCTGAAGGCCTCGACGAAGGGCATGCCCTCAATGTCGCCAATAGTGCCCCCAAGCTCAACGATGCAGACCTGCGGCTTGGAGGAGCCCTTGACGGGCTTTTCCGCGACGCGCGCCACCCACTCTTGTATGGCATTTGTTATATGCGGAACAACTGCAATAAAAAGGACATTAGCGCCACTCCATAAAGCGAGTCTTCTGATACTTACCCTGCACAGTCTGGCCCAGGTAGTCTCCCTTGCGCTCCTTTTCGATCACCATCTTGTAAATTTTGCCCGTTGTTATGTTATTGTCCCGGTGCAATGTTATATCGAGGAAGCGCTCGTAATTACCCAAATCTAAGTCAACCTCGGCTCCATCATCCAGTACGTAGACCTCACCTGTGAAAAACGATATTCTATTTTAGCTTTACATGTAAAATATATGAACTAGCTGAGACTTAGCATCAGCTAAAGTAATTTATACAACTGGTTCTTTCCTTGCTAATCACTTACCATGCTTAAAATAACCCATTATATACGAAAATAATGTCAATATTTATCCCAAGCCCTCTTAGTAAAGATTTCGTTTTGAAAATAAACATAAAAGGTTTTTATTTGCAAATCTTTGAGCTTACGTTAAATGGCGCGCACCAACACCCATTTTGGTAGCTGGGTAGGCGACGACGCTCAACTAGAAAATAGCATGGCATAGATAACTATGGATTCTATTAATCCTTACGAACTATACATTCAATGCGAATCCTTATGTACAGT